AGGAGTCATTAACATTTCATGGAAATCATTTGCAACAGAAGGAATATTTTGACCTGAGATTCTAAACAAATGAAAACATAAGTAAGACAAAAAATAAAAACAAAGGAAATACCACCTATGTTGAAAAAGAAAAAATATGGATTTTCATAAACCTAATAAGTATCCTTTTTTTGAATTAGGCAATCTGTGGTTCAAAGGTAAGTTTGCACCATTTTTTTTTCAGATCCAAGGCTAAAAGTATTAAGGCTGGCTTCTCTCGAGACCAGTCTACTCCTTGATAGTTAAGCAGTTGTGGGAAACCTACGAACTCTTCTGAAATCTGGAATTCCAGACCCTCCAACATCTTGGTTCTATGTTTGTGGTAGAGGAAACCCCATTTTGAGCATGGGTAGTGTGGAGAAAGTGGTGATGACAAGAGTTTAGGGTACTTTGACCATTGGATCCCAGTAAAACAGGAGCTCAAAACTAAGGGGAAAATTTTGTTACAATGCTGGATAAGACAGACTTTTAAAACGGTAAGCACATAAGGATTCCTGAATAAGCACTACAGAAGGGAGGCTGGAGGACATACGAAAAAAATTACAAAAAATAAAAAGGATCCCTGAATTACAGTGTGTCACAATAACTATTGTCAAATTAAAATTGTCATTAAAAGCTACTTAGTACCATGTGTTGGACTGAACACCACGTCATCACCATTATTTTGATCTGTCAACCTTCACAAACCATCTTTTAGAAATGGTAGGTTCTAAAGCAGAAAGAAATCAAAGAATAAGCAACTGGCAGAATTGATTTAAGAAGAATATACCATCTTGTGAAATGGGGTAGCTGATAAGAAGCATTGTTGAAGTCCCAATTTTGAGGCACTAATTTTTTTCATTCTCTGAGAATGATTGGATTAGGAATAATGAATTTAAAATGAATGTGACACATTGGAGCATTGTATTTTCTCAAAAAGGACCAAAGTCAGGGATATGGATAAATATATGTATAAAAGATGTATAAAGATGTATAAAAATATGCCCTTCAGAACCAAGGAATGATAATAGAACTGTGAACACAGGAAGGACAAGCTGCAAGGAGTCTAACCATAGTCAGCTCTCACTGAATATTCACTAGCTCTTGTCTGATGGTTGGCCCCAGCTCACATACATATTTTGTAAGTAACATGAAAAGGTATGACAGGATTTGAAGAAATATACGGTCAGATGCATATATATGCAAACCTATTAACTAAAGCATGGTGTATGCAATGCAGCTGCTTTGAACAACTAACTTAAAGCTTCACAAAATGAATACCAGAAAACTCTGAATTGTAGGGGGTCAAGAAGAGAGGTAGATGAATGGAGGGAGGAAGTATAGTCAATTGCAGTCACATTACTAAATGTATATATGTGAAAATGGAACTAGGGAAATTGCAGGGGTGGGCGGGGACAGGAGAAGGGGAAGAATGATGGAAGGGGTGACACTGATCAAGATACATTGTTCTTGTAAACTGGCATGGTGAATTGAAACCCCTCTGTACAACTACTTAAAGATAATCTTTTAGAAGTTAAAGGTTTAAAGAGGAACAAGATGAGGAAAAGAATGAACTACTTTTACTACTAGGGAAATCTTAAGAAGCCATTCTCTAAACGCTTCCAAGATTGAACAGTTAATTAAACATTGTTTTCAGTTATGTACAGTTTTCCTATAAGGTGATCCAAAGAAACAAGAGTTTATTTGTGCAAATGGAAGAGTCTCTGGACTCTAAGGCTGATTGAACACTGGAGTAATTATCAAGAGACATTTTGACACCCTCATTTATGGAGAATTATATAAACAAAATGTAAATTCTGTGTATTTTGACATTCACTTGTTAGAGATTAAGGGTTTTTTGAAAGCACCTTCCAGGATTCATATCTTAATAATAATATTAATTTCATTCTACAATAATTTTGAAATGTAGCATGACACCGATTCTTATTTTCCTTCATGTTCTGTAAGAAATGACAATTTCAAATTCACTTTATTTGAAAATCACAATATAAGCCAAAGCACCAGGGTCTCATGCCTGTAATCTTAGCTACTCAGGAGGCTGAGATTTAAGGATAGTGGTTCAAAGCCAGCCCAGACAGGAAAGTCTGTGAGACTTGACTCTCCAATTAAGCACCAAAAAAAGCTGGAAGTGGAGGTATGGCTCAAAGTGGTAAGAGTGCAAAATAAAGCACAAAGATAGCACCCAGACCCTAGGTTCAGTTCCCAGAGCCGAGGCATGCGCACTCGCGCACGCGCACACACACACACACACACACACACACACACACACACACACACACACCATGATATATAATGATTTTTCTTCTTATTGGACTTGTCTCCTAAGAATTCTTTACATAACTACTCTCATGATTTAATATTATTCTCTCTTTAAACTTTTAACAATGATTTATTTCAGCACAAGAGAGTTAATGTAAAGAGAAGTTGAAAAGTAGAGGTAAACATGCCATGCTTTGTAGGCAGGAAATGGGAGTTTAAGACTTGAAATGGCAGGTGTTATGTACTGCCTTTATTCTTTCTGTGCTGGAGGAATTCATGGGGTTATTATGTCAGTCTGGCAACCCACAACCGTGACATTGCTTATGGGTGTATATAACAGCTGAGGCCCACCCAAAACACAAATAACTTTTGGGATGTTTTGGAGCAGACATGCCTTCCATTTTTTCTGTCTTTACCTACCTATGAAAACTACTCAGATTTACACCATTTCAGAGGAAAATTTGATTCTCCCAATATAATACACTGCCTCATCACTTTGGGTGATACTGATCAAGATGCTTTGTATTTATAAACTTCGTACAACTCCTTAAAGATAATAAAAACAAAAATAAAAATAAAGGACAAGACAGGTTTAGTCTCTCCCATAACTCTTGACATTGATCACTATACATTCAAATTGACAGACTGAATTGAAACCCCTTTGAAAGGTAAATTTTTTTTAAAAACTTTTCTTTCAAGGGAATTATTATGAGAGGAGAGCATACTGCATTTTGTTTACTTCTGGGTTTGAAATCCTGAGTCTGACCCCTTTGATATTTGTTTAAAATAATGTAATTTCCCTGTCTCCTCAACTCTATTTCTTGCCTTATTTCCCCCCTAATGACTTTTAACCTTAAAAGTGGGATAACAGTCCATCTTTGATAGTGGCTTCCTGAAAGTGAACTGTCAGTCCTGCCTAGAAAAAGGGAATCAGAAAGTTGTGTCCCTATCTAATTTAGGAGATGACATAGGAAATTCAGTTGGCAGAAAATTCAGTTGACAGGCTGCCATGATCAAGACCAGAATATGATCAGGATCTGAAGATATCAAGTTCATCTTTTCATCATCGGCTTGGTGACATACTGTCTTTCCATCTCTAAAACACATAGACGATGATGATCATTAGAAAGAAGATAATAACTTGCTCAAGAAGAGCAAGGCAATAAGTGGACTTGGTCCACACCAATAGTTTTAGCTACTTGGGAGACTGAGCAGGATAGTGGTTTGAGCCCAGAAGTTCCAGGCCAGTCTGGGCAACATAGGTTTGAGATAGGGAGAGAGAGAAAGAGAGACAGACAGACAGACAGAGAAATGGAGAGAGAGACAGAGAATGAGAGAGGGTGAGAGAGTGAGATACAGAGAGAAACAGAGATAGACAGGCAGACAGAAAGATCCACAATGCTGTTCTTAACCTAAACTCTGTATTATTCCTGTAAGTAGTCCTCCCCTATCCTTAGGAGATAATGCCTGAAAATACCCAGAGGTTGCCTGAATCCACTGATGGTACTGAACTTTATATATTCTATTTTTTTCCTATACTAATACACTGATGATAGAGTCCAATTTATGTTAGGCACAGTAAGAGATTAACAATAATAACTAACAATGAAGTAGATGAGTTGTTTTTTTTTGTTTGTTTGTTTGTTTTTTGTCGGTCGTGGGGCTTGAACTCTGGACCTGGGCGCTGTCCCTCAGCTCTTCAGCTCAAGGCGAGCATTCTACCACTTGAGCTACAGCGCCACTTCCATGAAGTAGATGAGTTGTATCAATGCACTACATCAAAACATATAAGAATATGGTTTCTTTCTCTTGAAAGAACCAAGATAGTCAGATTCTTGCATGTTGGTTGACTTGGACCAACTGAAACTATGGCAAATGTTACTGAGGTTAACGTGAACTTCTATAGTGCACCTTCAATTTTTATGATTATGATAACCCTAGGGTTACAAGGTGATGCTGAAATTTACAACTGTTGGGATAATGAGTGTTTTGAATTGGTGAGAGGGGCACTGAGTGGATTTAACATGCTCTGCCATTGGAACCTTCCACCTCACTCTCCATCCAGATTAATGAGATTTGAATGAGATAAAAATGTCTTCTGCGGGGGTGGGAAGGTGGCTCAGTGGTAGAGCGCTTGCCTTGCATGCATGAGGCCCTGGGTTCGATTCCTCAGCATCACATAAGCAAAAATAAAAAAGCCAGAAGTGGTGCTGTGGCTCAAGTGGTAGAGCACTAGCCTTGAGCTGAAGAGCTGAGGGACAGCGCCCAGGCCCAGAGTTCCAGCTCCATGACCAACAACACAACAACAAAAACAGGCTTGAGCCTGTTATCCTAGCTAAGCAGGAGGCTGGGATTGAAGGATCATGGTTCAAAGCCAGCCCTGGCAGAAAAGTCTGTGAAAGTCTTACTTCCAATTAATTACAAAAAAAAGCCCACTGGAAGTGGGGCTGAGCACAAATGCTCAAGGATAGCACTCAGGCTTTAATTTCAAGCCCCAGGATTGGTGTGTGAGTACACACGCGCGTGCACGCATGTGTGTGCGCATGCACACACACATCCACACACACTGTCATCTTGTGAATGACTTATCTTCCTTTTGAATGTCAGCAGGTCAAAACCATCTTTTGTCTTAACTGTTCTAGTCTCTGATTTTGGTTTCTTAGGTCATATTCTTGTCTCACGTATGTTCTTACCCGCTTCAGAGCAACACTTACTTCCTGTTGTGATGCCATCCAAAACTTCGTGGTTTCTCAGAACAACACTCCAGTGGGCACTAACATGACTTACGAGGTGGAAAGTAAAAAGCAAATCCCAATCAGAGAGAACATTTTCCATATGTTTCCAGTGGTGAGTAACAATGGCTGGTGGGTGAATTTTCTCTAGCTTTAAGTTATAACTGGCAATAATGAATGAATAATTTAAACACTACTATACTCTGGTGTGTTGTATAGAATATGTATAGTGAGTCTATAAAAATGGCAATTCCTTGTTTACGCCATGTTGGGAATTGAATGTAGGACCTTGCTCATGCTAGGCTAGCACTCTACAACTGAGCTACATTCACAGTCCCTAGAAAGGCAATATGTCTGGGACAAGCAGAAAAGGTGCATATGACCAGATAAGATGATGTTAAGCGAAATGAACCCCAAGATAGGGACACAAGTGGTTTTTTTTCTTGCTTGCTATTGTTTCTAATGTATTTATAATGTACCACATGATTTTTTTTGTTTCTTTTTATATTCCTCCCCCACGGTATAACCCCTGTTTTCACTGTAGTTGATGTTGGTGCCCTGCATCTTGTATATACATTTTTCTAATTTGGGGAGGGGAGGGGAAAAAACAAAATGCTTAAACAGGGATACGGGTTGACCCATTGTAACAATGAGATGCACAAGACACTATGTTGAAAACCGAACTTTACAATTTAGGTGGGGAGGAGGGGAGTATAGTTGTGGAGGTAGGGAGGGAAGGGATGGTAGGGGAAAAACAAAGGAGGAGGATACAATGCTTGGTAGGAAATGTACTCATTACCTTGCTCATGTAACTGTAACCCCTCTGTACAGTATTTTTACAATAAAAAATGTATATATAAAAAAGGCAATTTTGAATGCAGTATCAGCCTACAAAGAAGTCCCTTATGTCATGAAGGATTAACTTCCAGTCCTGGGCTCCTCTGACTTGTCTTTGAATGACATGAAGTATCTGGGCTTTCTGCCTCAACACTACTGGTACTTGTAAAGATGACCATTGCTTTCTGGTTTTGTTTTTCTTTTTTGATAGTATTAGCGTTTGAATTCAGGGCCTTGTGTTTGATAGGCAGGTACTCTACCACTTGAACCACACCTTCAGGCCTCTTCCCATTTTTTTTTGTTGTCAGGATTTTATGAGAGTATCTCACTTTTTTCCCCTTCCTCATGCTTCTATTCATACTTCCCACATCGGCCACCAAGCCACGCTGTTGGTCAAAAGGAGTTTCCTTGCCTTTCTGCCTTGGCTGTTTTCTACCTACAACCATCCCAAACTCAGGCTTCTGAGTAGCTGGGATGAGAGGTCTGAGCCACAGCACCTTTCATGGATGCAGTTCAGCGTGGAGCTGACCTTGTTTCAACCTTGCTTTCCACTCATTCTCCTCTGCCATTCTTCACACACAGCCCCTTTACACCAGTTCACAATGACTTTTGATTAGACAATGGAAAAGTAACTCCTCTCCAAGAACTTTGCCAAGTTCCTTGAGAAGGAAAGCAACCAAGTTGATTTTCAGCCACAGCAAGCAATGAGCAGCCAGTGGAGCTGTGCAAATTTGCATTTTCTTCAGAGGGTTATTTTTAGGGAACATTGAAGTTTGTAATTTATCTCCACTCCTACTGAGCAGAAGACTCTAATACACAAGGATGTTTCCTCCCCATTGACCAAGAAACCAGAAAAAAAATTCATTATTTTCATTGCTTAATTTGAGCTAGAGTTCCCTCAATGGTCTTTTCCTACTGTACCATAAAGAGCGTATGCATTCTACCCAATCTATAAAATTCGGAATTTATTGTGGTACCTGTGGGTAAACTCTATCGGAAGGTATCCTGAGCTAGAATGTCGCTGGTAAGTTGAAGCCTGGGGTGTCTGGGAACCATTCACTCTGCCAGATGAGAAAAGGAGGCACACAATTAAGTGAGCATTTCAGGCCACTGATGAGAAGGAAACTGTGTGTGGTGTGGTGATGAAGCGTAGGTTCTCTAGAACCTACTGGCTGGGTTTATATTCCAGCTCTGCCTCTTTGGAGCTTGTTGCTTTGATTTGTACCTCCATTTTCCCCATCTGTAAAACTTCTCCTAAAGTGATTGTGTGGATTAAATATGATACTAAGTTCTGCACTTAGAACAGTATGGCTCATACAATAAGTATGATATAAATAACAGGATACTAGACAAGTTAGGGGCTAGGAAAGTGGCTCAGTGGTAGAGCGCTTGCCTTGC